TAGGTAGAGATTTTTCATGGAACAGAGTCAAAAAGTGGAGACTGCCCTACGACAATATTTTTTAGATCCTGAATCTTTTCGGGATTCGGGAAATGTCTTAACATTAAAAATTGATGTTATTTGTTATAGGTAGGTAGACTATTTTTCGGAATCTTTAGGAACATTCCAACAAAAATTCTTTTTTTTTTTAAGTAAGTATACATTTTACAAAAGACTACCTATCTCCTGATTAATTAATTTTTTTTCTTCTCATTATATGACCATGGTTATAAAGAGAAGAAAAAAAGCCTGAGGGTTTTATTTGGGGCATTATAGTCAAGTCAGCCTGCATACAATCATATTATTTACTCGCAAATGTGATTATGTGTCGCACCGTGGTACAAGAATTACGAATCTCGACTCCGAAAGCCCTTCTTCGACTTCGGGCTTCTAATAGTCTCGTTCGTAATTCCTTATTTACCACCTTTAATACACAATGTACTATTTTTTTTTGTAGTGCCAATATCCCGAGAGTAACTGAAATTGCATTAGCTATGACGAGGAGGGCAGTAATTGGCTATAATGCCTGCCATCTGTATTATTCATAGTCTAAGCCGTATCACTGCTTGTCATTCGATTTGTACCATCGAGTGTATAACCAGAAATAGAGACGAAATGTCATTTAATTTGTTTGAAAACTATTCTGCCATATCATTACTATGACAACTGCACTCCGATTGGCCAGCCCGAATTCGAAACAATTGACGGGTGTCGTAATTGGTTTTACTTTAAATCGACCGGTTTAATTGAGCTTTGCTATAATGGACGAAAATTGCAAAATTACATGTTTAATATTTAATTATCGATGATATTTGATTCCTTTTGTTTTGTAATTAGATGTTTTGCTGTTTTTCCCCACACCACCGAAAGGAACAGCACGCCATTGTTAGAGATATTATCTTTATTACAATAAATATAGAATATTTTTGGAATATACGGAGACGTACACACAGGTCAGTTGTTGGGGCGGTCTATATTTCAGTGCAAACGAGAGTTGATATTTATAAGTGATGTATCACTGGTGAGTTACCAGGAATGTATGGGCCCTTATTTCGTCTCTATTTTTGGTTATATACTCGATGATTTGTACCCATAAAAGTGTTAAATGAGAAGGAGACAAACAATTACATATATCTCTGTCTCCTTTGTTACAAAGAGTAAAAAGAATTCACAGTCATACGGTTATTGTTCCGAAAATGCAGACGTAACATTTGCTCGTGTAGGCCACTATGGCGTCTAATAGGATTAATATTCGTCGACCTACTATTTGACCCATTATCACGAGGCGATTCCTCAGTCGAGCATCGTGGCGTGACTGCGAGAACTGTTCTAGAACAATGAGCCATTTACTGATCAAGGTCCCGTCATTTGCCGCACGGAAACCTTTGACGGATTGATGATGGTCTGACATCTCAGAATCGGCCTAACATGACACTAGAACTACTACTATGACATCGCATTCGGTTGCTGAGGAAGACTTAAAAATTGCTTTGACAGCCAATGTCTCGATAAAGAAGCATTAATATATTGTGGGTCATGTGTGAAGAGCCTATGGGACGTACAAAATATTTTCACACATTTCATGAGGTACGCAAATAAGTGATATACAAATATGACGAAACAATAAACTAAAAAGTAGACCGTGGACAGAAATCGAACACGGCATACTTTTCCATAATAACGATATGTGCATTTTTAAGAATATAACCTTTTGCAATGTATTTTAGGCCCTATATTTGTGTATTAAGGTCACAACGAGAAATAAGTACTGTTTGATTTCATATAACGTTTTGGATATTGCCCCGAAGCAATTTGATATGTATGAAATAAAGTCGGTTAGAGCTCAAATTATCTTTTGTGGCTTGTGGCGCAAGATTTAGTAGGGTATCAGTTAAATACTCAACGCGTAATATCTTAACCGCTTACCGAAAAAAAAAAACACCCTTAAGTAATATATCCGTATTGTAGTGCTTTGTAACGACGTTATAATGAAGGTGTGATGGTAGGTGTATGCGTCCGTTCATTGGACCGTATACGACCGCTACCGCCCGTGTTACCAATTTAACAGAAAACGGTGTATGTACTTGGCATAAATTTTGTACCAGGTGTACGAGAATTTATTCTTCGGATACATAATGATAAATTGAAAATTTACTTATTTCAATTTGCCTAAGGTCCAAATATCTACTTTTAATACAAAATATTGGTTGTTTCATATTAGTTTCGAATGTTGAACAATTAGTCACAAAATTTATGACACAATCAAAGAAGTAACTCCTAAGATTAAAATATCGACACGTTAGTATTGCTCATGTATAAATATCGGGTTGGCCAAAAGACCGTGCGGTATTGAATTATAAATGAAAAACATAAAACAAATTTAAAACTTTAATCGATTGTGTATTTAGCATGATGATTTATTTTAATTAATCTTTCGCTAACTTCATCAAAAATTCTTGCGTTTAATTATTACAGCTCTAAATGTCGTTTGATGGTCTCTTTATAATCAAAGGTGTGTTCATTCAAAGAATTCTGAAAAAACCAAAACAAGTGAAAATCTGAAGGGGCTAGGAATATCGGGCGAATATGGTGGATGAAATGAGGTAATATAACCCCCAACCTAACTACAATACGAGTAGTTGTTGACGACTTTGTATAGATGTTTGTGGTTTGGCATTGTCATGATCCAATGCGACACCTATATTCACCAATTCTGAGTGTTTATCAAGAATTATATTGAATTTTTTAATTTTTTAAATATATTTAATTTAAAGTTTTAAATTTGAATTTAAAACTTTCCCTTCTATCAAGAATAGAATAAATGCGAGTTAAAATGTTATTTTAGAAATTACCCTACACAAAATTAGTAGTAGTAAAATTTTACGTTGTTCGGGAAAGGCTAAGGCTAGCTAAGAAATGGCTTCTGCCAGATAGATCTTACATTTAACTTTATATTATTATATTAATAATTGAAATTTTCCGACATTTCTTCGCGGGAAATCGTTATGTCTTTGCGGTGGTCATTTTGAAATCCAAGGCAAAATTAAACACCAGACCAGATAAAAAAGAGTAATTTTTTTATTTCGTGGCGAAACCGTGTGCTTTTTGGCCATCCCATTATTGACATAAGTCGATATCTACAGTCAAATAGATACAACCATTGATCTACAACGTATTTCGTTGATCAAGTCCACGATATAATGAATCTCTTTATAAGTAAGTATATTGATTGCTAAGTTACAAATTAATTTAAACAATACACAACACACAACAACAACAAGTATATTAAAAAATATACTTTCTTTTTTCAAAAGAACTACTGAGCCAGACTGCCGCTAAAACAACGCGGGAGATGTACAGGTACCTAACGACTGCAAATTTTAACGCTATGACATAAGGTACGTTTTTCACCGACTAAGAATGTTTAGCACCAAAAAATACTCTAACTGGGTTAATATTCACAAGACCTTTGAAATATTATGATGTAAATGTGAAAACAAAATGAAGATGAAAAAACCTTAATATTTTTGTGTTGTATGACATGTGGTTCGATCTAATGGCAATCCATACACAAAGCTGCAAACTCGGGGCAGTAAGAAAATGTTCTGTCTAAAATGATTCATTGTTTATTTGCTTATAGCAAGCAAATCATAACTTTTTAATAAAATAATCGTATTAAAATTATAGACTATGATGTGTATTGAAAAAGTAGGTACTTGTATATGAAACAGATTTCGTGTTACAGTAGGTAGAAACCAGCTCAAATGTTTGTTGTTATATAACACGCGCTCAGCGTGACTGCTTTGTTTTCTGAACGTAGAGTGACGCTAGTGTTGCTGGACAATGACTAACACAGTAAGTAGTACGTATCAATACAATAGTAGGTTGCTATAATTATGGTAGTATAATATTTTTTTTCTCCACTCCACTCTACTCTACTCTACTCTATTTAATGTTTTATAAACATCAAATAGAGTAGAGTAGAGCAAGTAAGTAAGTAAAAGGGAGTGTAAACTATGATAACCGCATATTTTGCTAAATAGTGCAATACACATTTGCTACATTTATAATTATGTGTTCAGTTTTATTACATTTAATATTTCCCTTCCCACCTAGAAAGTAGCCGTAATGTTTACGTTGTTTATGTTTACTTGACTACCGCTATTTGAGAAAAAAAATTAATAAATCATTTTAGTAGTATGAACATTA